CCATAGAAATTGAGTTCTGTTGAAGAATATTGAGAATTCCGACTTTTTCACCTCTGATTTAGAAAAAATGAATTTTCTCAGCGAGGAAACCAAATTTAAAAAAAACTCTTTGTTGTTTTGAAGTTCAGCATCTAGCAGATCTAGCCGTGTAAAAATATTGGCTCTATGACTTCTACAAAACCCTGTGTTAGGTCTACAAAGTTTGTGTGGCGTTTTTGAGCCGTGCCGGTTTCGGACACTAGCAAAAATGCAGTTTCGGCTCTGAAACTTTGGGAGTTAGTTTTCTAGATTCAGTTTTCAATTCTGAATACGAAAAACTTTGTTTCAAGTGTTGAAATCAAAACGCGAAAAAGTTACGGCTATTTTTTTGAAACCTTGCGGTTTTGGGGTTTTTGACAACTTACGAGTTTTTTTGAATTTTTGGACCGGTAAAAGTCTCCAGAAAAAGCGAAGCGCGCATGTTCATGATCGGCGCACAATTCTCTATCGAATGGTGTGTAAAACGTCAAAAAATAAATTCCATTCGAAGTCTGCTTTCTGTGCATCTTACTCTAACTCTTTGTTTCTAGATCTTCAGTTGATGAATTGCAAACTCACCCGTTTATGAAAAATGCGAAGAAAATTTCAAATGATCCACGTTATTTTATGGATGAAACAAGGAAAATCATTGATTCTCAATCCAAACAGCAACAATTACAAAACAATGATAATGGACAATTAATTGGTGACATTTTTGGTATGTACTGTCTCTTATAGAACTGAAGATTAAATTTAGTAATTATATGTTATTATTTTACAGGCACTATGGATAATTCAAATAAAGAACACATACATAACTGGGAGTTCTAGATAAATGTCCTTCTCATTCCACAAACATACTTCAAAATTTATGAAAGAAGAACAGTGGAGAGAAAAAATTATTTTTAATTTCATTTTATTTTCGTTGTATTGTTTTGCATGTGCTATTTTCACTTTCTTTTGAAAGCATAGGTTTCTTTTTTGAGCTTTTACGTTCGTTGTTTGAGTAATTCATTCATTCCACTGTTATGAAATTGTGTGTGAAAATATTTAGAAAAAAAGTAGAAATAGTACGGTTGATGATGTATGCTTCAATCATTAAAACTCAAAATATTTCGTAATTAGTGATGGTCTGTCTTTTACAGCATAGAATTAAATTTTAGTCTTTGATATATTTTCAGTATTTTTATATAATAAACAAGCACCACAACGACTAGGTTAAAAATAAAATATGAATATAAATTAGTTGTGATAAATTTAAGCTAGTTTTGTCGTCATTGTTTCTGAAGTGAAATGTAAAGACCGTGTTGCAAAACTATTCATTTATTCTATAATTCTAAGCGGAACTAGTTTTCATTAAAATTTGAGCGAACAATGTTTTTTAGTAGCGATACAGCATAATGTTCGAGTAACCTTCGCAGATACAATCATGCTGTAAAGTGACAGTTCTAGTATTAACGGCAAATAATTAGATATTATCATATTTTGTAACGTCTAATAAGCCCATTATCAGATGGAAGGTGAGTGTTGTTTTTATCCATATTATTATGAAAAATTACAATGTTATGAAGTTATTATCTCATAAAAACCATTGTCAACAATGTTTCGAATGTCTATATTGTATTCATATATTCGTTATGACAAATACAGCATCATTGTCTGAAAATACTTCAACAATTATAATAAATCTTCATGAAAATACTTTATCGAGTAGAAATACGATGTTTGGTCAAACAATATCATGTCTGTTATTTGGCATGCGATTTTTTGTCGTTGGTTAATATGTGACATTTATCTAAATGATCAATTAATCATTTATTCACAATATCCAATATCATTTGATCTCAGGGGCGTGCCTGCCGGAGACTTGTGGGAGTGGTTACCACCCCTCCTGCTTTCAGAAAAGTTTCTGTTTTGTGTCTTTCGCTCTTCAAGAAACTATCTTTTTTGGAAGAAAGAAAATTTTTTATGGCAGGAGTATCCCCCTGCTGTGAGATGCTAGGTACGCCCCTGTTTGATCTGAAGTGCTATCGGATTATATGTATATAAAAAACATCGAAAAATGTAAAAATGTTAATAAATTTTGTCTTACTATTGCTTTCTCGTTACAGGAAAGCTCAAATCTTGAAAACTTGAATTGACCTTACTACGTGCAGTCCTCGCGGCTGCCTTTCTATAACTTTTCTCTAAACACAGCTGAGAATATATAGATCAGACGTCAACGAAATAATTCGATAATTCAATCTACAGTGGCAATCACCATCCACTTATGAAATGTCATCATGACGCTGCAGATTCAGTGTCACAATTTCTTTATCAAACACGTGAATGTAATGAGTGCACTTTTAAAGAAAGAAAATGATTTTGATATTTTGAACTAAATTTATTTAGTTTAAACAACTCGAGTTTAAACTATCAAAATCATTTTGTAAAAATCATATTCAATTCTAATTATGTGTTATTATTTCCTGTCAGCATAAGATACAATGAAAAGCATGGCATCCCGTTATTGTACCTTATCTTGATTATGAATATGTTTTGATTTGTATGTATGTCTAGTTATTCTAATATATTTTTACCTTTTTCTCTTGGTTGATAGATTATATAACGTTTAAATAATGTAACTATTCATTCGAATCTGTTATATTGATCAAAATACAATTTTTACTGTATGATTAGATGTCACTATGTTTTTTTCTTCTCCGCTTCAAATGAATTAATGTGTATGTGTGTGCGTGTGTGTGTGTGTGTGTGTGTGAGGACACTTGTAGGTATAATTTTTTTGAAATGGGTTTATTAATACGAGACAAAAGCAACTTGTAATACGTCAGATATAAAATAGTCTATTTTCTTATTTTATTATCACGTATTCCATAATGATGTCGACAAGATAAGAAAATATTTTAGAATTATGAAGAAAATTATATAGAAAATCGTAGTTTTTTTAAATTAAATTAGTTTCAAGTAAATAAGCAAGCTGAATATATTCTACGTTATTATTTTTTCTGTATATATATATATATATATTAATCTTTAGATTATGAATCAGAGTTCAGATTCACCTTTAAACTCGCATAAAAAGAGACGAATAATAATCATTACTGGAGATGACGACGTAGTAAATCGATTACAATTAAACAGTATACAAACGTCAAATGTAAAGACAGTTGTATTTGACTCTAACAATGAGGGCTGTCCAAACCATTCCGACTATGGGAATGAGCTGCTTATTAATAATATAGTATCCACCGTGAGTAACGTTCATTTAGCTTGTTTCCCGCTGAACATTGTACTTGTTATTCGATCACTATATTGTAACCAGTAACTATGTATTGCTCAAGTATAACGTACTAATAAGATTGGAGGAGTGACGCATCCTCTCCACACACTCCTAGTAATGTTACCCCTACTAACAATACAAATTAACGGGTGCGGCATAAGCAATGATACCGCCAGTATTTCGTCAATATCTCGGTGAGTTTTCATCATAGAGACTTGCGCTTAATCTCAAAAAGTTCTGCATGCAATTCTCTTCATAACCCTAAGAAAAGAGCACGATACGTAACCGTAAATTCATAGGCTGTCAACACTGCAATGTTCCAAATGGGAGCACTTTCCAGTGCACATTTTCACAAGATTAATTATGTCTCTGATTCTGTCTAATCAGACGCGAACGCACTGTAATGCGGATTTTCCATGTTTTCGGACGTGCTCTTTCTCACAGCACTAAAAACGACTCTCTTAGACAACACAGTGAGTTTCTTTCTTTCTCACAGCACTAAAAACGACTCTCTTAGACAACACAGTGAGTTTCTTATGGCAGATTTCCTTGAAAAACGAGTTGGAGCCAGGGAGCATTTTCCTCTCACGCACTATGGGGATCAAAAGAAGACTTGTACGCCAACTCGGTTGGTTAGAGATGATAGAGAAAACATTTTTCTGCACCTTTGCACAACGAAATTGGCAAGAAAACGTTACACTTTGTTCGAACTGTACAAAATTTACAATGAGTTGTTTCTCAATTGATAGACCATTGCAACAGCTACAAAACGGTATATTTAGTCTTTCTCTATGCGCCGAAAGTGAGACGAAAAAATAAAAACAAAACGTAATATTAGTTGGAAAGTGCTCCCGTTTGGGACATAGCAGAATTGACAGCCTATGAATTCACGGTTATTTGTTGTGCGTGCCCTTTTCTTAAAGTTTTGTAGAGAGTTCAATGAAAAATCTCAAAAATAGCTCAAGTCTCTACAATGAAAACTCACCGAGATATTGACGAAATACTAGCGGTATCATTATTTATGCCGTACCCGTTATGTAAGCTTATCTATCGCTACCTCTTTGTAGGACAGTTTATCTTTTTTCTTCATTTTCTTAAAACTAATGTGATTTTCGATCGGAAAATGTTATTCGCTTGCTTATTGGAACTTTAGACGAACAGTGATTTAATTAACAAACAAACTGGAATATCTCATCCATTCAAATCGATATTAAATAACGAATTATATACTTTTCAACCAACGAAAGACAAAGATTCTTTAATTTGTGTAGTATGCGGAGCCATTGCTTATGGATATAATTTCGATGCTATCACATGCGACTCATGTAAAGCATTCTTCAGACGAAATGCTCTAAGAGATTTGGTTTGTATATTTGATAGTTAAGAAGATGAAATCTATAAATATTAATAACAAATATTTTTAGAATACCATTCGATGTCGTCGTCTTCAAGCATGTTTAATTACGTGGTATACCCGACGACGTTGTACATATTGTCGACTAATCAAATGTTTTCAAAATGGAATGCGAAAAGATTGGATAATGACGGTATTTTTGTTCTAAGAGACGTCTAATTGTTTATATTTAATTTCATTTTATTCATATCAAGGATGAACAAAAAGAAACGAAAAAACGAAAAATAGAAGCAAATCGTTCTTTAAGGCAATCTACTTTTTTCCCTTATGAAACAATTCATCCAGAGATAGTAAGTCACTATTTCTTCATTTATAGTTAAATATTTCTTAAAAACATCTTTGGTGAATGAATTATGTATTTTTTGTTTAGAATAATGATCTCATCGATTTGATAGATTTCGGTGAGTCCTACTTTCAAATTAGTCAGCAATCATCATGCTTAAGTCTGACCGATATGATGAAAATAGATAATATTCAAGCGTCTTATAGTCAACGTATTCAGCTAGGTAAGAAAAACTCTTGTTTGTACTAAACTTATTATTAGAAATAATAATAATAGAATAAAAAGTATTTCAAAAATTATCGTCGTTCAAAATTAGCATATTTTTATTTTCCATATAATTTGTCTGTCTTTTAAAAAATAGCTGTCTTTATTGAAGTCATAATTAGGTAATTGTCAGTACCGGTACCGGGCGTTCGATATCAACCATTAGAATCGTGCCGAAAGTACCAAAGTTTTTTTCATTATCTAAATCTGTTTTTGAATGCACAAGAAGCTTTTTCCTCCTTAAGTCGCGAAGACTCTCATTTCTTAATTTTTTTCACGATATTTTTAGTTCTCTCTTTTTCCATCCTATTGTTGAAATAGTATCAGTTTTATTGCGAAATACAGATGTTATTTTATCACTTTACTTTACATCGCATACACCGTGCTATTCAGCAACGCTAAAGAAGGAGACAAATAGATTTCTATTCTGTTTGTGTCAGCTGTTCCTTATGTGACAATTATGAACACGCGTACAAGAAAGTAAATAAAAGAGAGAGACTATAGCATGTAGCTGAACCTAGAAAAAACAACAACGGCAGATGCGATTCAGTATCAGCTGCCAAACATTGATAGAGTTATCGAACTTTTTAGTACTTTCCCTGATACCAAATCAAAAGTACCCAACGATTCGATGTCTAACAGTGTACCGAATAGGAATTTTCGGTACTGCGCGAAAACAGTACCGACATTTCTCTAGTCATAATGTATGATCACTATACAAAATTCAATGAAAAAATAAATATAAATTGATCACTTTATTACTGATCTATGCAATTTTTAGCAAATAAATTATTGTAATAATAGTTTTTCACAGATTTTTGTTAGTCAAGCTATTCTTATACCTTTCAACTTTTAAATAAAATATATTTTTATTATTCGATTGATCACGAACAGTCTTGTCATTATTATTTGCTCCTCTGTAACCACGTTGTATAACCACGTTAAGTCATAATAATATTACTAACTACAAGGATCAAACTATTATATGATGTCAAATGCATTCATCCATCATTGATCGACAGAATCTAATATGTCACTACTCTAGGATTTGATAATATTCGGCATCATTAGATAGAATATCCTAAAATTTTATTCGATTTTTCTGTAAACTCATACAGCAGATTCTACTTTTTCATTAAAATCCACTTTCTCAAATATAAAGAAAATAATTTTCTCTAGATTATTTCTCGTTTTTCGGGTTAATATCGTTGGAAGGAACTTACTCGTTACCCCATTTCTTCAGAGATGTAAGGAGCAGAGTGAAAGTCGAAAAATAGAGTGCTATTCAAACGTTTGTATAAATCTTTCTTCGAAAACTTGATATATCAAAGAAACGAATCTTGGTGTTTCAGACATTTTATACAGTCGCTGGCATTTTCTACTCTAAAAGCATTAAAAATAGATCCATTTTGAGACGATTTTTCATTCATTTTTATCTTTCTTTATTTTAATTCGAACATCTTTGTCTATCTTAGTAAATACAACATTTTCCTATATTCATGTAGAATTGTAATGATAGAATTTTATAAGAAATATTATATTAATCTACGATAGGAATCCTATGAATTCTGATAATAAGATTTCATAGGATTCTACAATAGGAACTCTAACACTTCCTATTTTTTATAGGATGCTAACAAGATTGTTTGATCTGAGTAGGCTCAACTCGGATGTAACAATAGCCTAGATCAATCTACGGTATCCGATATTGAACGTTGATATATTCATATCTTCTATGTTTTGAGATATTTCTTATTTAAAAAATAATAAAAGAAAATAAATTTTAAAAATGAAAAATATTTACGTTCTATAGAACAAAGCAATTCACTACAAAGGTATAAAAATATGAGCAAATAAGTGAGTAAAAGTTTGTATCACTGTTTTATTATTAAAAACTAGAGGGTGACTTTTGCTCAATATTGTATTTTTTGAAAATAGTTTTAACCATGGGATGACGCACGAAAAATTTATAAGGTAGAATAGAAGATTTCAAAAGATTCACGAGTATTTCTGGAATATTCAGGGTTCAGACTGATTATCGATTCTACAAAAGCTCTTAGTAGACATAGACTACAACGTTAAATATGAAACAGGACGTATCATTAGAAGATTTTTGAAAAAGAATTGAGTCTTACGAGTTAAACTTTAGTTGACTTGACAAATATTATATAGTAATAAGTCATAAGTCTCCATTATTTCAATTTGACTTATTAACAGTTTGCTGAGTTACAAATTGCTGAAAGATTATACATATCAATTTTTATTCTAGCTGCTCTCAGTGGTCTTCCATGTGATCCAAGATTAAAAGTAACATCTTTTTATCAATTACTCAATATTAAATCGGTTATTCTTATTCGTTTAATGTCCTATTTTAAACAAATACCCGAATTTCAAGCCTTAAATGTTGACGATAAAGTAACATTAATTAAATATAATTTAATACCGTTACTACCACTCAATTTAATTTTATCCTATAATCCTGACACAGAAACATTTATAGAAACGGATACCGATTATCCAATAGATTCACGAATATGTTTAAAATTTCATGGAACTGAGATGTATATTGAAACAAAACAAATACTTGACTCATTATGGAATATTGCATCATATGATCATACGATAATAAAATTAGCATTAATTATTTTAATATTTTCAAAAGGTTTTTCACCATTGAGCTATTTACCGGAACCATATTTAAAAGATGCACTTCAAGTTTATCATGCACAAAATTTTTATGTAGAATTATTATGGCGATATATGGAAACAAATTTTGGTGGAATAAAAGCGGCTCAAATCTTCTCAAAATTAATATGTCAAAGTATGAGTATTCAACTTCATGTTAAGAAAATGTCACAGAAAACTCGAGAACAAATAACAGAATTAAGCCAAATTTCACCAATGATGAGATCATTATTACATTATACTTGAAAATATTATTTATTATTAATCGATGTTATATATATATATATATAAATAATATACATGCGAATTTATCATAGAAGTATAAGTTTATTTTTATGAAACAATTCAAATTATTTTCCCGGTCGAAAAAACAAGCCTGTTGTTTTATTATGTAAAAGACAATAAAGTTTATTCATTTTTCTTGGATAATAAATAAAATAGATCGTTTTTTATATAAAATTATTTAATCCAATGAGTATTTATTGCATTTATTTCTCTCTTCTAGTATCAATGACGAAAAAATAGATGTTCTTAAAAATGATTGTAATCTTGATTGATTTGAAAATGATTTTCCTCGTTTATATTTTTGTTGTTTGAAGTAAATTGAGTAATAATAATAATAAATCATGAGAAATAGAAGAAATAATGCAAAGGTTCCAAATAAAATTGCAGCAATAAATAAAAATAGTTTTATATTAAATTTACCACCGATAACGCGAACATATAGATAAAGAGTAAAATCACAGTAACTACCTTGTTCAAAATTACTATAGCTATTCTCAAATGACGGAATATATATATTTGTTAGTTCAACTAAAATTATAAAATAAATTTATTCATTTTTGTTAATGACAGAACTTTTACAATAAAAAGTTTCTGTTTTTTATCATAAACTGTCGCTATATTCATTTCTTATTTTATTTTATTAATGAATTTTTATTCTAAGTTTTCGAATCACCAATTCATCATTAGACTTAAAATATTAAAGTTTAACACAGTTAAAACTATACAATCAATAAGACTAAGGACGTTATTCTATAAATATATATAAGAAATGTAGAATTACATAGAGAAAAAGAGAAAGAAGGAGAATGGGAAAAGGGGATGTACAAATTCTTGTACTATTCTTAACTGAACTGAATAAATATTATAAATTTACAGTTATACATGAAAAATAGTTGATTGATAGATCAACTTTTTATATTGAATATTTTAGAATGATTTTCTTTTCTTTTTCATATGAGACTAATGACTGGAAGAAAGAGAACGTTTTTCTTTACCGTTAAACTGTGGTGTATTTGTACGAATAGCCAGAGATTCTCTTACCAGTAATCGATAAGGTCTATTGTCTCTAGCTAACATTTTAATATTGCTGAAATTAATCAAATAATCCGTTTGAATAACATGTTTACTTAGTGCTGATTAAGGTTTAAATTCAGCTAATGTTCTATTTGAATTAGGATGAAAATTTTTCTGTTCACGATTTTTTCCAGAATTATGCACAGTTTGCTGTTTTTGTGCACAGTTACAGAAAGGTGCATGAAAATGTTTTTGTGCACGGTTTTCGAAGAACAAGGTTAAGCTATATCCTATTGTTTGATTATTAAATTTTTTTTATCACCAAAAATATATCATGTAGCTATTTACAAATAAAAATCCTCTTTTAGTATTTCCACCAAATTTATGATCAATTTAATGCTTTCCTGCCTTTTTTAGACGTCCACGCCTTTTTGCTAACACTTGTGATTTAGCTAGATAAGCTATAACATAAAGATTAAAATGAATAGTAAAGCCTGCTGCATGTTTACAAACATATTGTTTAAGGTTTTGTTTACATGTACACATCATAAAATGATACTATTGTGGCCATGTATATGTATCCGTTTGTGCAAACGATGATGGTGCGATGTAAGTATGTAAAACCAAAATATATTTTACTTGTTGAAAAACTGTGCACAAAAACGCTTCTGTACACCTTTTTGTAACTGTGCACAAAAATGTCAAAAGATTTAGTGCACGAAAAATAGTAAACCGTGCACAATTCCGGAAAAAATCGTGCACAAAAAACATTTTTTCCTTGAATTACGTAATGAATAATTTTGAAGGCTTGTCTTATTCGCTATCAGAATTTATACACGCTTTTTTCCTATTCTCCTTCTTTCTCTTTTTCTTTTCTACATTTCTTCTGTATAGGTAGTTTATCACGTACATTTCTTATAGTCTATATATTGATAGAATAACGCCCTTAGTCTTATTGATTGTATAGTTTTAACTGTGTTAAACTTTAATACTTTAACTCTGATGATGAATCGGTGATTCGAAAGCTCAGAATAAAAATTCATTAATAAAATAAAATAAGAAATGAATCTAAGCTACAATTTATGATAAAAAACAGAAACTTTTATAAAATAAAAACATTTTTACTAGTCAAATTTTCAAGATAGTGCAAATGTTGATGAAACTACTGTTATAGACATCAAAATGAAAAGATATCTCTTCATTCAGAAAAATAGACTAATGGATGACCTAGAAATAACGATACACTTTTGTTCTCGTTTTTTCGGCACTCAACTGAGATTCTAAGATTCCGTTCTAGACTCATTCGATAGAGAATTTTCTGTTCTACAATTCCATTACTTTTTTTCATTACAGAGTAAGGACACATAAAAAGTATAGCTGTCATGGAAGGAATAGGTTGTATTTTTTTTGTACTCGACGTGATTTAATAATCTTTCTGTTAGCTATTTATCACAGGTACTTTATGTAAAGAAATCGTCTTCATTTAATTAATTCACATTGAAAAATAATATTTTTTCTAAAATTCAGTCACTACCAACACATGGTCCGAAGTAGAGATGTGCAGGACGCCCTTACCCTGCAGAGTAGGATAGGGCCAGAGCTCTAGTATCACCTGAAGTCACAGGATAGGACTAGGGCTCCAGAAACAGCCACCCTGCACATCTTTAGTCCGGAGATGACGGGATTATATTGTTGTCTGTATATCGTATGGTTCCAAGATTTCGTTCTGATTTCAGAAGACAGAAGATTTTCTGCTCTACAAAATCCCCTATATCGCATACTTACACTGCGTCGTTTGCATAGTTCTTTCAATGAGTTTTTCAAAATCTCACGTCGTCAGAAAGTACTGATCAACATGTGCACTCATATTTTTACAATTTGGGTGATCAAATGGAAAAGCAGCGTAGTCCGAATGATAGTTCTCATTCCGCTGAATATTTTTATATCACCCTCTTTTCTCAGTTGTCATATTATTTCTCGAAAAATTACACAAAAGCCAAAAAGTCATCAAAATTTTGATAGTAAATCGTATTTATACTTTTTATATGTCCTTATTCTACACTATTTTTTTAGATAATGAAATAATATATAACGAAAGAAGGTAATGGATTTTGTACAACAGAAAATTCTTTATCGAATGAGTCTAGAATGGAATCTTAGAATCTCAGTTATGTGATTAAAAAAAGGGAACAAAAGTGTGTCATTATTTCTGGACCACCTGTTATTAGATACTAATTCGAAATAAAATATTTGAATAGATCGATGGATACTAACGTAAAAATGTTGTATCAGGAACATTTGGAAATTTTGGTTTTATATCGTAACACGGTGTTTTTCTTCCACATTGCCATGTAGTCTTTAAATTTTTCATATTGTTCAATATGATATAACCATCACCTAAAAAATAAGTTAAATTATTAATTGTTGTCTAATACATTTTCTTTCTGGAAAAAAGAAAGAATTTTATCATATGTGAACTATGACATGGTATTTATATCACCTGATCGATAACCGTTTGACTGTTCTTTCAATATAAAATAATCTTCATCTAATCTTGTTTGACTAGTACTAATATTTCCCATACTATTATATTGAAATATTTCATTATCCATCAAATATCTCAATGGCTCATTTGAATAAGTATTTTTATAGGCAATAACACGAATAATATAATCACCTGGAAAAACATGTGATTGTTGGCTAATTCGATTGTATAAAATAACATATGGAGCAAATGCTTCATCATACGATACACACAATTCTGTTAAAGGATTTTGAACATTTTTATTACAAAGTTCCTTCATATATCCAATTGTTTTATGTTCGTCAATAAATGCCATCATTGATGGAGGACATGTGAGAACTATTTGAAGAGGAGGTAGTTGTTCGTGTATTGAAGATAAAAATAAACAATCTTTTTCATTACTTTGATAAGTAAAAATTAATTGAGAAATAAGCGGTTTCCAACGATAGTTGTGAAGTGAAACTGAAATAGAACATTGAAAACAACAACAACTTAGCTATTTTAGTTGTTACATACCCAATTCTTCTAAATGTTGTTGTGCACAATCTGTTATTTGTATGAGAATGTTTAATTCATCGTTTGAATGTTCGGATAGAATTGGTGTTTGTGAAACGCATAAATATTTGGATGCATCACCTACTGCAATGATATGTATTGAACTGGCATCAATCGATAGTATAGTATTTATTGTTTTTATTGTAAATATTAATTCAATATCGATTGTTTGCGTATTATCCAGATAGATGACTTGATTTTCTTTATCATTAAATTTATGGGAGATAGGTAACATCGATTCTATTGTACCATTATATTCATAAAACCATAAACCTGTAAGGACACATAACATAACGAGATTAAAATTACAAATATATCAAACACGAACATTATCATTTGAAACTAGAGACATATTTTCATTATTATTAGGCAATTAGAACGTATTTCTATACCTGGATGTTTAATGTCAAATATCATCTCATAATTCCATTGTATATTTGTCATTATATTTAATACATATTCATTAATCCCATGAACAACAATTTCTACATCTGCAAAATCTATAGATCTTATTTAGCCAGTGTACGTATTCATTCGTTTTTACTCGAATTCACCTTCATGATATTTTCGAATAATTTCCCATACATGCGTCGTTTGTCGGTTATAATATGAATTGTAACCTTGAAATGCGTACTTATATGTCTGCCATTTATTTCTCTCGTCCAGTGTGATTGTTTGTTCTATTTGATATTGTGGACAGTGTTCCATGACATTTGTTGCTTGATATTTTGATCTCAAATTAATATTTGCTTGTTTTTTCAAATGTTCATTAATAAAAAGTCGCCGTGAACGAAAGTGAACATTTTCATCGATAAGAATACAGTGTAAATCACTGTTATACTTGGTATAGAATCCAATCAATTTACTTTGACCATTTTGAGTAATATAGGCATATTCATATTCAATATTTAAAGATATTTTCGAGTCATAGTAGAAATACGGCTGTGGTAAATAAATAAGTTTTTTATCATCGAATGAAAAGGCAATTACTTGACCTTTTAATGTTGTACGGAACACAGTAAAACGTGAACTTTTATCAGTCATTTCATCAACTAATAATAATTGTTGACAATACTTTATACCTAGAATAGAAGATTGAAGATACAAATTTTAGGAGAACAGGAAGATATTGAGATAAAATAGTATTTCACACTTATTTTAACGAGCGTTTCAAAATATATTCCGATCGTTTGGTCGTTATCCTTTTCCATTCGTTAGGTCGGTGTAGCTATGATATAACATAATATAGAGCTGTTTTATATGTAACTGCCTTGTTTTATAATTGCATAAACATATAACGTGTAAAGTCATTTTTGTCTTTACAAATGATGAGACAATAGATAGAAAAGCAATGTTTCTCTATGTTGAATGCAACAACATTTTCAACCAAATTTTATCTTTCTAAACTTTGAGACTTCTCTGAGAACTGTTATTAGCAATGCGTAAAAATATGTTTATGAGTAAAATGAGCATAATGAAGTTTTGAGGGAAAGTTGTTCTCTTTGTCCGTGATAAGGAGATAAATAGCAGGTCTGTCATAGAGATTAGATTTTACATTCTGTAAGTCCCAAACTGAGATCAGGAAAGTAACGTTTCGCTTTCCTTTTCCTCTAACAATCTGATCACAAATGTTTCTTTTCTGTGATTAATCTTGCCGCTCATTGACAGTGTCATACATAATATAGATCAAAAAAAAAAAGTTGGCTAAACACAGAGAATATGACCGTTCTTCTTTTCGAAAAATTGAAATATTGGTAGTATTCTCCCTTTCGTAATATATGAGAATGCTTTAGGCGAACAGTAAATTTTCTTTGAAAAAAAGTTTCAACTTCAATTGTTGAATAGAATAAAGACACAGAGCAGTAGATTTAGTTTTGTAGTTTACTGCAAAGATAAGTTCATGTGTCCGAATCTTTATTCGTACAAAATTGATTTTGTATTTTTCGATAGTTCCTGCATACTTATGTAATTAAATTTTTTTCTCAACGCGTAGATTTGTAGAGCAGACCTTTCTGATCCAAATAAGACCTCATACAACTCTGTATGACCTTGCGTCAAAAAGTTACAAGTATTTTCCTACAAGTCCTAAAACTGAGCATTTTATACAGCGTTTAATACAGCGTTTTCTCTAGATGGAAGTTACACCTGAAATACTTCCCAAGATTTTTAATATATTTCAAGGTAGACAGTTCGGGTTTGTTTTACTCTAAACTAGACACCTAACTACATGGCCTGATCAGCACCGATCTTACAATTAGGTCTTTGTTCGTTTTGTAGACAACCAACAACCTCAAAAACGCGAAAAACGCTTCATAGTTTTCTAGAAATCTGCTTTTTTGAGGTCGTTGATTGTCTACAAAACGAACAAAGACCTAATTGTAAAATCGGCGCCGGTCAGGCCATGTAATTAGGTGTCTAGTTTAAAATAAAACAAACCCGAACTCTCTAACTTGAAGTATATTAAAAAATTTTGGGAGGCACTTCAGGATCCTTTTTGAACTTTGATCTCTGGAAAACTCCTAAACGATAAGACTTGGAGACAAAAAAAATTTTCATTCCCGTAACTCATTGTGCCTAATATTTATGGAAAGTTTCGTCAAGATCGGATGTACGATGTCAAGGATAATTTCTGAGCGGGGTCCTGAAATCGGGTATTGGTAGTAATCTCAAATTTTCGATAATAATGAGTTTTACTACAAAAATGATCTTATAAAATAGTTCAGATTCTGAGAAAGTTTAGAAAGATAAAATTTGGTTGAAAATGTTGTTGCATTCAACATAGAGAAACATTGCTTTTCTATCTATTGTCTCATCATTTGTAAAGATAAAAATGACTTTACACGTTATATGTTTATGCAATTATAAAACAAGGCAGTTACATATAAAACAGCTCTATATTATGTTATATCATAGCTACACCGACCTAACGAACGAAAAAGAATAACGACCAAACGATCGGAATATATTTTGAAACGCCCCCTTAACTCACCTTCAAGAATCACATTTCCGTAGAGATACACAGTGCCATGAAATAGATTCGATGTTTCAATTCCACTAATACTCCAATTGCTCGTATATTTATTTTGTATAATATCACCATTTTTTGTAAATATAATTAAATCTTGTAAACGTTTTATACCCCATAATTTCTCATTGAATATAAACGTGACAAGATATAAATTTTGAAATTTTTGTGTCACATTACTATCATAAACATTATTACCGATATAGATCAACAGCAAGACACGTGTTTCGGTCATAGCTGAACTAACTATTGTATACCATGAACTGCGGCTTTTCTTATTATGTTCAGATACAAATTTATCTAAAATAAAGATGATGTATTATATAGTTTATCAACTGATTAATACATCTTTACCAAAATTCGATTGATTATTTCGAATATGTTCAATAAAAACTCCATTTTTGACAATCAGATTTTGTGCTATTAAAAAATCCATCATTGTTTTTCGTTCCGATGTAATATCTTTTAATTCTTCAATAATATTCATTAAATCATCGTTATCATCTAAATCGTTAAACGATTGTTTAACACCATTAGTTACATCGTGTATATAATAGACAGTTGGAGCATGTCGATAATTTGATTCAATATTCAACTCTAATATCGAATAGCCAATGCCAATTATACTACGATGTAGCAGTTGGTTTGTTGATACAATAAACCTGTACAGTAAAGAAAACAATATAATTTTATTATATCTTTTGGATTTCATCTACCTCTTAATACATTGTTTTAGTAAAATACACGGATATTCATCATTTGTACATGGAAATTTGAGTATTCCATATTTTGTTGCTATTAGTACAATTTCTGTTAGAGCTAATGTATCTTTTAAAATATTTTTTTTATAACTTAAAGGGCAAACGTCGAATTCTTGTTGAAGTCGTTTAAGATAATTTTTTTGAATTTCATAATATTTTATATATTTCATTTCTTCATACATTACAACGAGTGAATTTTGAAATATTGGATCATAAAATAATATGAACGTTTGATCATAGTATCGTTGATTCATATGACTCCAGTCTCAACATAAATTATCACATTTCACATGTATTATCAATTTAAAAATCAATTGTTTCTTACCAATTCCATTTTGTTCGATTAACATCAGTATTGATTTATCTAATTTTTCAATTTCATCTAGGATATCCCATAGATTTGTTTTAAATGATTTTGGATAGAAATATATGAGTTCAAACAAATCTGGTATGTAAATATTTCCAAAATTAATTAGACTGACAGTTATTTGTACTGCACTCACAACATAATTCATTAAAAATAATGGAAATGGTGCATACCAGACAATAGAACATAATTTTATTTGTTCATCGTTTTGACAATGATCATTTGTTGCAAATGATTCCAATTCAAATCTCAAATGAGGATAAATGTAAGATTGTAGAATGGGTACAGTATACATATTTGTAAAATATTCAATAATAATATAAGGAATACCACCACTTAAATACAATGAACGACTTATCTCAGATGATCGATTTTTATTACGGCATTGAATATCCACACGAAATGAATATTTACCATTTGATTTTAAATGTACAAATGTTTTGAGAGTGAATTGATGAGTATCATTATCAACATTAAGTTCAATTATGGAGATACCAAAATAACATTCGTAATAAGGAAAATTAGGAGAATTATAGACATCATAGTCAAATGTCGCAAATAATAAACTCAATGTATGTCGGCTACTCAATCCAAAGAGAAAAGCCAATATTATTCTTAACATCTTATGTTTTCTTTATTATATTATTAATTAAATGTGAGATTTGTTTCGTTATATGATCTACATTTATTCGTAGATTGACATGTTCTTATACGCTCAACTTGCCGTAACAATATTGAAATTGAGATATTTAACCAATTCTTGGCGCCAATTTATCTGAACTTTTTTTAGATTCAGATGTACACGAGTGTTGTCAAAATATCCTTGTAAAGTGTAATGATAATTGTCTTTACTGCAATATTCCGTCAAACATTATACTCTGTGCACACATTTAACAAATCTCTTTTCGTGTGCTTCCAATTTCATTCATTTCAACTCTTCATTCACTCTCATCAATTAGGAGAATGATGTAATATTCAAATGATTGAAATGTATGAAAAATTGAAATATGAAAAATAAATGAAACAGACAAAATATATCTGAATCTATCTTACATAGTGTGTTAAATATAACTTTGATTTATCTTACGCCTTACAGTAATATTCTGATAGCTATGATGTACACGGTTAAAAATACTATGATATTCAACAATTGACGATTTGATTCTAAAAACGAAAATCTTCATGTTAATAATTATCATTTCTGACATATATTTAGATTATATTAGTCTCGATAATCGAGGATTTGTTTTAGAGTTTTTTGGTTTTATTCTCAACAAAATGTTTTCTTCGTGAAAACATGTCTAAATTCTTTTTAAATGTACACATATATAAGCAAATACCTACATAAGTTTATACAAACAAATAGACATGGTGAATACCAAAATAAAACAGTTACAAAAAAAAACAGAAAAAAAATGTAATTGAGCTTAGCATACACGCATACAGATCCTTAATTATCAATATACAAGGCTTATTTTCTTTCTCTAACAGGCCGTGGAAAAAGTGGCTTGTAAACACACAGAAGGAAAAATAAAAAAGAATAAATATTTTTAAAAAGAAATGCAAAACAAAAATATGATTTAATGTACAGATAAAACATAATTTCAATGGGAAGGATATTTCAAGATAGAAATACGTATACACTGAGATAACTTAAAAATTGGATCATTCATTTTGAATTCTATTCTTAATCTGTAAATGGTAAATCAGCAGTTGAACTAGGAAAAAGTTCACGAGGTGAGGGAGGTGGTATGTTTATAGGATCAGACACAAAAGGTGGAATCAATGCACTGCCAGTACTATTAAATGGACCAATACCTCCATCTTCACGACGATCTAAATAAAAATATAAGAATTATCTCTTTGATATTGAAATTTTATTATCAATATACCATTTTCATTACTATCATCGATAAGACTATTCACAGAACGACTACGAACACATTGAAAATCAACATGACGACTTTTCGCTTCTTCTTTCTCCCAAGACATTCTTAGGAATGGTCGCTGAATATAACTGTAAATGGCTGAAATAAAATAGATATTATATCATATTAAATAAAATCATATTAAGACCATTTGGTTTTACTATTTATTTTTATTTTTCTTACAGTTAAAGTTTCAATCTGAGACAATAAATTTTGTTATGAAAAATCGAAGATACTTTTCAAAACTAACAACACTTATATATCTTATATAAATTTTCTCTCACTAACACATCATATCACCAATTCAATGAATTTGACTAATGAATGTTTATTTTATGAAAATCTTACCTTCTGGTCTAGCTCGAGGACGACATCGAATTTTTTCTTTATGTGTTGGATAACCTTGAAAAGAACAAAATAAAAACTGATTGATACAGAAGAGATCACAAACACAAGAAATTCTTACCTTCGATACCCATTCGAATTTTTTTCAATCCGCGATCTTTCAATACTTGTTTGGCTACTTCACGATTTTCAACATATTTGAAAAATCGATACATTTGCGTGGAACGAATAACTAAATTTATATACCACACGTTTTGCTATTATGTAATTTCAAAATTTGTTTTTTACTCCTTACTTTGTGCTTTATCTTCTTCTTGTCCAAGTGGAGGTGGATAGTCTTCGTCCCACTCAATTGTATCATCTGTACATAATATAACTATTTGACATTCTCTATCGCCTCTCTATAATTAAAATATGGTACACTTACTCTCCATATAATTAACCTTAGATCTCAAACTATGAAACGTATCAATCTTACTTGAGCTGATTCGACAAGAACAGGAAAAATATCATTTTCTAAAAACATTTCAAACTGTTTTTTAGCACCATCATTGGATAGTTCATGTAATAAGCCACCTAAAATAGATACAAGATGTTTATGACAAGAAAATATTCGATCATTCAAAAAGAGAAGCGATACGTACATAAATCTTGACAATGTATTGTTGAGAAATCGAATGGTATCAAAAAATAATCACATGCTTCTCTTAAATCTTGAACACTAACCATTGGTGGACAACGTATCGTTCCAACACTATAAAAATCCTGAAAAAAAAGATAAGTCTTATAATAACAAAAAAAGAATTTCATAAGATGAATCTGTTACAAACAGCATTTTAGACATTCTCGAACTGCTCAAAAACTGTGGATAGTACCAGTTTTTAAGCATTTAAAATCAATCAGTTTCTTGCAGCAATTGGATACATTTCGTAGGTCAAAAACAGAACTAAAGATGATTTTACGAAGAGTTTTACTACTTACCAGCAATGCTCGAAAGATTGTTGATGATATTCCATTAACTAGTTCGTATTCACCACGTTCATTTGCTGTTATCGAAGTTTCCCATGATGAACTAAACATTCTATAGAAGAAAAGAATATTTACAATCTATTATATAAATCTATTTACTAGTCAAACTAACCTTCCTAACATTGTATTTGAATGTGCTCTGAATAAATTTGGATCAATAACAAAACGTGTTTCATCGACAACAAGTGTTACATTCTGTGTTGTTCGAGAATCATTTTTAACATTATTTGAATTTGTTACAGCTGTTTGAGAACGTGTACGAACATCGACAGTTAATCCAGATTGGACACTGACTGAAGAGACTGTTGATGCCGTTGATGTACTGATAGTATTAGACGACGACGTTGCTATATTAGATGTGGTACTTGTAAGAATTTGATTATTTTGATTTGAATTACTGTTGTTGTTACTACTACGATGTTTGTGATGGTGATGATGATGATTAGGAGCAAGTGCTGATTCATGTCGAGGTGGCGAAGGAGAAACAGATTTTGATTTATTTTTTAGTTTATGTTGTTTAGTTGTGGGTAACTGAAGTTCAGGACTTGTGGAACCTAAACAAAATGAGTTGATTTCAATCAAATTTATTTTACTGTATTTCATTCTGTTCAAAGTCTATTTTGCTGTTTAGTACACTTTTTTCATCAACCAGAGTACATGCACCTTTCTACTATAGAAATGATTATAATTTATAAAGCAGTCTGACACCCGATAGTTTAACTTCGGTTGTGATTCTTTTCACTTTTTTCTCTAAAAATTTTAGTCTTTTACCACTGGTCACTTTGAGAATTCCACGAGATGTTGGCATTTCTTCGTCACTTGTTGACGTCTTATGAACTAAACATGGTTTCATTTTGTTGTTGTTTCGTTTAGATCTAAAATGTTTACAAGAGATGTATGTGTTAATTTGAAAATGAGTTTTCTTTTAATGCCATTTACCCGCGACTTTTATGCGAAATGTTTGATGTTGCTGTCATTTTTGAATCAGAATCATAATGCTCTGAATCCGAACTATCAGGATTTAATTGATCACGGATATGAGAGGAAGGTTTTTTCGACATATTATGTTGATATAATCAAAATCTGAAATGGATATATATTATAATAGAACTTTACATTATTATATCATGTTTACGAAACAAAATGATCCCTAGTAAATCTGTCATGCCTTCAAGAAAGCTACAATACATCAGAGTTTAAAAATAACGCAGATCAGAGGGTGCAGAATTGTTGCAGTATGGAATTCGTACGATACATAACAGCAAATTGGTAACCTTTATTTGATTTAGTAGTGGTAGATTGCTTAGCAAATGATTAATAACCATAGATGTCACTGAAAACACGAAGAGGAAAAAGCGGAAATTTTGAAATACGATCTTGGTGTTACGATATGAAATGAATCAAAAATTTGAGAAACATAAATCATTACTTATACTGCACTATCTGAACAAATGATCTCTGGGAGCCTCCTCTGATTTGAGACGAAATCTCTTATCAGTGAAAGTCTTGAACGATCACAGGAAATTCAAAAAAAATTCTTTTTACATTTTTTAAATTAAGATAGAGATATTTCAAAGACACCTATTTAGTGTTCGATATCCCAAGGCTACTGTATGTAAATGGAGACGTTAAACTTTTTCTTGAGATTTCACGTATTTTCTTATCAAGAGGATATAGGACAGCTCGAATACACCCATGTGCTTCATACCAACAAAATTAATACCGGGAGGTATACCACCATAGTAAACGAAAATACGTCCGGTATACTGACGGTAACCACGCGGTATGCCACTATATACCGTCGGTATAACCAGCGATACCCTGGTCGACTCTCCCCCTCAAAGTCTCTTGGGAATCCCTAAAAATGTATACTCCCCGGGGAGTCCCTGCCAACTCCCCATTCACCGTTTGTTTTGCAGATAGACAATATGTAAATATAATACAGTTCTATATGATAAAATTTTACGAATTTTCTTCTAGTAAGTTAATATTAATATGTCAACCTTCGATGGCTGATATGCGCTACATTGGTACCAGTGATGGTACCTGGCACTTAATTACTAATTAGTTATATGAAATTAAACAAGATGGATCAATAGACCTACAGGGAAGGGAATCCACAGGGATTTTTAGGAGACTCCCTGAGGACTTTCTTGGGGAGTGTCGATTAGGGTACCGTCTGGTATTTTGTTAGTATGAACATGTAGAACAGGAGTTCGAAACTAGTTCTCAACTTTCTTTTTTTATTGTTGGGCACTTGTAAGCGCAGACAGGCTCCCGACTGAGAGAAATTTGACTCAATTCAAACTTCGGCGAGTCTATATGACCTAAAAGAAAAGTTTAATCTGAAAAAGAAATCAAGTTTCTTTAATTTTTCTGTTTCTTTTATATCTTCATGAGTGCAAAATACAATGGTGAATGGATAAAAATGGTTACCGTGCGGTATTTTCTTAGACCGCGGTCTAATAAGTTTTACTGTTAGATTAATGTTTAAATTTTTATTTTATTTTACGAAGTGCAAATTAATCCGTCCAATTACTATGCATAGCGCAAAAATGGTAGAGAAAAACAATAACGAAACCAACGATGAAGCGACGAAGGAGCATAAACGTAAAAGTTAATTTTCAATACCTCATACAGTAAAAACTTTTTTTCACACAAGAATCATTAGTTCTCACATACGATGAAAGACTGAGCCATAGTCACATCCTGATGATGTCGTTACATGTCAGCATTATTTTCTTGTGTTCTGTCTATACAGTACACGCAGTCATACGTAACATCACAACATCCTAAAATGTATGCAATAATATGGTAAGACTAAAAACAAAAAAGGTAGATAGTCAAGACATCTCTTACCTGTAGCATAAAAGATCTTGTGATTGACTAAATACTCCGATTATTCTAGGATCAACAATAATTGATAAAACACTGACATTTGCAAACGCCGTGTTCATCAAAATACATCCATAGAACGATGCTAAAATGGAATAAAATTTATGGCTAACTTCGAATCTCCATTGTAAATGTCAATGTTTTATCAATTATTGCTGATCCTAGTACAATTGGAGTATTTAGTCAATCACAAGATCTTTTATGCTACAGGTAAGAGATGTCTTGACTATCTACCTTTTTTGTTTTTAATCTTTTGGGCATTAGTTACCATATTATTGCATACATTTTAGGATGTTGTAATGTGTGTCTCATTAGATAAGCCTGGTATTCGTCTATTTGCTGGACTGATCGTTGGTTTTCTCGCATATATGCCCTTATAGTCTTTCATAAGTAAATTTTCTCATCTAATTTGTGTCGTATATCATTTCTATTTTTTCATGAGTTATTAAATCGAACAAAAACGCCGACATTGCGTTGGTGGCTAGCTGTATGTTGTTGTAGACAATAAAATTTTACACAATGGTGTTAACGACACATTTAACAGTTCAGAACAACTTTAGTAAACATTAGAGAAATAACAACGTCGTTGAGGTAGTTGGTTGCTGCTTGTTTTATGTGATATCAAATCTATTTGTATTTTTATTCTCTTGTGAAAAATCACTATACATTCTGCGATGGTAATGAATACTCACACCCTGGTGCGAGCGCTGTGCGCAAGTCGTCCAACGGCTTTAAAGCTCGCCGTATGACTGCCTATGGATAAAGTGCCCGTTTAAAGTGCGAAAACAATGATCGTACATATTATTGAATATGGACAAAAACTTTCTGTGATATAACCGAAATAAAACGGTTCATAGAGGAATAAAAAGATTAGTGTGATAAACAATAAAGAAAGTGATTTAAGTAGCATTTGTCTCGTATTGAGGAAGAAAGCTAAATATTTAAAGCTACTGTATAATACTGATGGGTTCTCGTAGTGCGACTCTATTAACAGAAAAGCTAACTCACCTCCTATTGCTCGCCCGATAGATGAGAAGTAAGCATTTTTTGTTTTTCTACCTCCGTTTTTTATCAGATATTCTATAAGGCAAAGGACTGGTTGCGGTAAAGCCATTTTTTTGACCACACTATTTTCAAAAAATAATTATATATTCGGAGGCGACATCGAATTCTGGGTTAAATGGCGGATGTTTTTCTGTCGAAAATTGATTTTCAGTTTTTTCGAAAAATTTCCGCCCCTTTGGAACATGAAAAAAGGTTTTTTTTTCGATTTATTTGAATTATACGAACAAAATGATGACTTTTTTGGTAGATATTTTTAACGGATGAAGGATTATGGCCTTCAACTGACCTAAAAACTGGGTCTGAACGCTTCAAACGTATTATAACGGTCCGTAAAATCAGCTTCTGTTCATAGATGAATTAAAATAACTAACATAAGATTCCAAATTTAGATCCTCCAAGCAGCCTTCTATGTATTGTACACATCATTTACTATAAACTTGCTAAGACTATAAAAATGTTTTCAAATTTCGCCCATTTTCTATGCCTTTTCTTCCATTTTAAATGTCATATTTGGAAAGATCGTGAAAAACTGAGTCAAACCATGTGTTTCACTCGATGGATTAAGTCTTAATGTTAAAACAAACAGGTCATGAAGTGCCCAGAAGTTCGTTTTTCATCAATTTTTCAGTTTTGGGTGGACAAATTAATCGAAATTTGGCTTTAAACGTCTTATTTTACATGATTTCGATAGATAAAACGTTGCCACATATATCTAAGTATGGTTTAAGCGCTCAAACCCAGTTTTTAGGTCAGCTGAAGGCCATAATCCTACATCCGTTAAAAATATCTACCAAAAAAGTCGTTTTTTATTTCCATTGAAGTTTTGAAGAAAAACCAACCTGATATTGGTAATCAGCCTCAAATTCTGTATCGAATGATGAATAATTCAAATAAATCGGAAAAAAACCCTTTTTTCATGTTCCAAAGGGGCGAAAATTTTTCGAAAAAACTGAAAATCGATTTTCGACAGAAAAACATCCGCCATTTAACCCAGAATTCGATGTTGCCTCCGAATATATAATTATTTTTTGAAAATAGTGTGGTCAAAAAAATGGCCTTACCGCAACTAGTCCTTTATAATATTTTGCTTTTTCGAGTCTCTAATTTTTAGTCAATCAAGATTTATTTCATAATAACATTCGACGATTTGTTGAAATTGGACGTGATTAGGCATGCAACAATTACAGTTAACTGTAACTGAGAAAAAGTGTAAAAGTGGCGAAAAAAGTTTTTATTATTTTAGTCTCGGTTTATAAAATGTTTGCGAAAAATTCTAGATTCAGGATGTGTCAAACTAGACGTCTTTTTTCATTGGCACATACTTGCATAATCTTAGAGTTCTGACTCTTCTTTTTAGCTCCCATTCATATCTATGTATCATGTATTTTGAACAAGTAAAAAATCAAAACATGACAAAAAGATGGATAAGGAATAGAGAAATAAACAATAATTCCATAATATGTGTGTATGCATGGATGTAGGATAGACTGTGCATCACAATCTGTCACACATCCTTTAGACAGATGGATAGATATATAGATATAGATGATAGGCACAAAAAAAAACCGTTCCATATTCTCGTTCTTACTTCCTATTTAAGTATAAATTGATAAAGACACACAAATAGAGATATATACAAATGTTACAAAGCTTTGTTCATGTCATACAAGAAAAGGAGTGAGAAAAAGAAAAAATGCAACTTAGATATGTAGTGGCTGTTGTTTTCAACATGAAAACTTCAGCCAAACAAATCCCATTTTTTTACTCTAAACAACATAAAAAAACACTCACACACACATACACATGAAAAATAAAGTTACTTTCTACCAGTAAATGATTCGCTCAAAAGGCGAAAAACATATTTCTGTTAAATGTTTCGACGAAGAACAAGGC